GAGCGGCCTGGCGACAGGGAGACGCAGCGGGGCCCTCCCGCGGGCCGCCGCAGCCCTGGTCCGGCGCAGGCCATCGTCCCGGCTTAGCCAAATTGCTTTGACAGCCGGGGACAGTGTGGAGACATCAGCGCGAGGGCGATCTAATGGCTCCTAATTTCATTAGGACGGCTCGGGACTCAAAGCCCGGAGTTTGGGGTGGGAGTGCGAGGCGGCTGCGGGGTCCCCAGCACGCTCTCTGTTCCCCCGGCTCCTAAGGACCTGCGACTCCCACGGGTGCCCGGAGCTTGGTGACCGGGCCGTGCGCCTTCCCCAGGGGTCCACCTCAGCACGACCCCAAAGGCGCACCGAGAGCCACAGAGGGAAAGCTAAGCGCCCAATTGGGGCCAGAGGACAGTCCGGCTTCCTGCCACCAAGATCCCACGCAGGTTCCCACAATTGGGTCCCAGCGCGCCGGAAGGTGCAAGAGGGACCTTCACAAAATAGTTCAGTCCCTCCCCAGCACTTAACCTAAATGGTCGGTTCAGTCCCTGCAGGTATGACGCCCATGCAAGCTCGAGGTCATTTCTGCTCTGGGGGCCAGCCGCACACAGCACACAGCGGACAAAACTCCCTGCTGTAAACCCAGAGGAGTCCTGCACCCCCCTCTGCACCCTCCTGAGTGCTCCCAACAAGGACCCAGAAAGGGAACCGGCCTCCCTCTCTTTGCCCCAGCGGCCAGCAGTTCAAGCTCCCCACCCACCACGCTTAGAAAGCAGCTTTGAGAGCATCCGTGGAGGGCCCCCCCGCTGTCCCCTCCCCACCAGGGTCCCACAGGAGATTTCACATTGGGACCTTCACACACCAACCTCCCTGGGGGTCAAATCCATTCCCACCCTATCCCCTCATGTCCCCAAATCCGGGACCATGTTTCTGTCCATTCTGTCTAAAGAGAACGTAGCAGGACAGGGAGCACTTTTGGAATTGGGGACCAGGCCTCAAAACCTGTCTCCAAATACACGCTGTAGGGCCTTGGGCAAGTCCCCTCCCCTCCCGGGGACTCCCAGGTACAAAGGCTGCACATTTCTGCCCTCCAGGCCCCCTCCCTAGGCTGCTATGAGGATCAGATGCCCTAAGGCCAAGGAGCCAGTCGAAGGGGAGGAGACACTGAATTCAGAGACCATGTTCTGTGCTGGTGATGAATTCTTTCCAACAGCGAGTTTTAGGGACATTTTTCTAAAAATCAATGTTTTGTTCTTCATTTGTTTTTCTTTGGTGAGGAGAGGGTGGTGCCTTCTGGAGCATTTGCTAAAAGCTACATGTCTCTTGGAGGGTGGGGGCTGCGTGCTCAATATCCTGTATGCAGTTTCAGGGGGTTCACCAGGCCCCCCCTCTCTCTTAGGGCCAATGGGACTCCAGGTTGAGGAGCCTGGTCTAGACTGGCCTGCTCTGGGCATTGCTGGGGGAGGAAGAAAGCTGGGAGTTGGGGAAAAACAGGTCTGCCCAAGAGTATCAAGCTAAAAGGAGCAGGGGCACCAGGGCTCGCCTCCAGCGGGTGGGTGTGCCCATCTGTAAAAGACGGGGCAGGCGGCCCGGGGGTCCCCTCTCAGCTGGAACATCCTGGCAGGATTTGGAAGGGGGTGGGGAAGGTGTACGGCTCCACCTTGCTCTGGCCTCTGAGCTGTCCGCGCTGGGTGCCCACTGGGCGAGAGTGACCATGTTTTGTTCTGCGGGACTGAAACCCAGCCCCCCACCCCTAGACACAGACGGGACTGGGGCTCAGGCCCAGTTCCCAGCCCCGGCGTCCAGGCCGGGAATGTGCAGCTTCAGCCACACCATGATCCCCTCCCCTCAGCAAAGGCAGGGGCCGGTGGCAGGGACGCAGTGTGAGCCCCAGGCCGGGAGAACCCGGGCCCCATCTCCATCCACTCGGGAAAAACAGACCAGAGCGTGGGGTAGTGGACCACAGAGAGGACTGCAGAGGGGCAAACGTCACGGGGGAGAGAGGTGGAAACGGAGAAGAGGGAGAGAAAACGCAAAGCTGAATTAGAAGGTGAGAGAAACAGGAGACAGGAAAAAGAGAAAGGAAGGCCAGATCCAGAAAGTAGGGGGAAGAAAAAGACCAAGGGGGTGAAATAAAGGAATCGTGGAAAGGAGAGAGGGGGTTCAAGAAGCCTGGGAGAGGAGCTGGGAGGGAGGGAGGGACCTGAGGGTGCTGGGCAGGGCTGCTCCGGGTACTCACATGCCCAAACGGGTCCAGGTGGTTGTTGGTGAGCTTGAGTTTCTGGAAGGAGACGAGCTGCCGCATCCAATGCGCCCCGGTGGCCGGCGAGTCGGGGTGCACGTACAGGCGGCCGGGCATGGCGGGCTCTGCTTTGCCGGTCACCGACCTAGACCAGGGAACACTCAGCCTCAGTGCGCCGTGGTGCAGGCCAGCTCACACGTCAGGCAGGCCCGGGCCGGTGCAGGCCCCGGCTGCTCCATGTGAGAATCTTCTGGAAATGGCCTGACCCTCGGCTCTGCTTTGCCGGGAGCTGCTATCCAGACCAGCTGCCCCCCTGGCTCTCTCTTCTTCCATCTCATCCCTCCCCAGCCCCAGGGGCGCGCGGGTCTCGCAGCCTCTCGCTGCCCACAAACAATCTGCGGGCTCTGGGAGCCTGGGTGTGCAAAAAAGTCTTGGAAAACTCCTTGAGGGCTCTCAAAGGGGGCTTCCCCTCCAAGCCTCTGTACTCTTGGCAGCTGCGGGAGAGATCTACCCAAGGAATGGGCCTCTCCTCTCCGCTCTTGCCTGTTTTACTCAAATACCACGGGCCGATTTTGCAATTTCATAAAAAGGCATGTTCAAAGCGGGTAACTCATAAAAAGTAACTGTAAATGGTTTTATACCCCCGAATACCTCCAGCGCTTGGTAACAATACCCTTTTTTTAAAAATCGGCAACCCGCGGGTGCAGCAGCAGACACAGGCACGCTACTTCCTCTGAGCCTCAGTTTTCTCGTCTCTAAAATGGGGGCTAAGGGCTGCTCTTCTTTTCAGGATGAGGTCAGGGGGATGCAACCGGGTGGGCAGCCAAAGCCTCTCGCCCACAGCAGGAACTCAAAAAAAAAAAATGTGGCTGGGTTTGAGGGGTGTGCCCTCCCCACCTGCCCCTCTGGTGCCTACCATTTGTTATCTGCAAACTTGTATCTGTGGTCGTCGGCGGGGACAATGTCCATGAGGAGAATGTACTTGGTTTTGGGATTAAGGCCAGTCACCTTCACTTTGTAGCTGGGAAACATGCGCCTGAGAGAGGGACAGAGGGACGGAGGGACGGAGGGAGGGAGGGGGGAGAGAGAGCATTAGAGCTAATATTCTGAAGGGCAAGTCCACGCATCTCAAAGGAAGAGACAATTCCTTTAGAAATGTGAAAGACAAAAGTGGCCCCCACTCCGCCCTGGCCGAGATCCATCCCGGGTTTCCCTTGAAGTTGTGGGGAGGAGACAGGCTAGGAAACCCGGCTGGCCGGCCACTGAGTCTGGGCAGAAAATAGAAACCAGGAGGCAGGGCTCCTGGGGAACTGGGTCTGAAGACGGCCTGCGCGGGACCCCCATTCCAACGCTTGCCTAATGCTCTCTTCAGAGCCAGGCACCTACTTTTTACATTGGGGGGGGGCAGAGGAGGCTTCTTAGGTAAAAAACTGGCCACCCCCTCCACCCAGCCAGGGGCTTTGGCCCGAGTGGGCAGCGCTGCCCTGTCACGTGGACGCCAAGGTGTGTGTGCGCCTTAGGGACACGTGGGTGCCCACACCCACCCACACACATGTCCTGTCCTGGCTTCCCGCCCTCCGCCCCCAGAGGGTACAGCTCGGTCCCAGGGGTTTATTCCTAAATGCCCCCCACAACTTCTCTGCAAGGCGCTGTTCCTTGCAGAGTCTAAACTCTCTGCCCCTCCACAAACCCACCCAGATTTGGTCTCAGGAAGAGGCTGGGGTGGCTGGAAAACCTGTGCCCGAGAACTGCGCGCTGTGCCTGCCCCCTCTGCGCGCAAAGGCGCGCCCCCCGTTCCCGTCCCGCCTGGGGAGGAGTGCGCCCTGAAAGACGGGCATCCTGCAGGCTGCCCTGGGGGGGGGGGTCCTAGCTGGCGCAGGGATGGCGGGAAGGGGCGAGTGGAGGCCTCCCCGGGAGAGCCTGGGAGTCCAAGCCTCGGTGTTTATCTGCCCGAGCGAGTGCGCCCAGAGGCAGGCACCGGAGGCCGCGCAGGCCTTTTATAGTGAAATCCTCTCGGCTCCGGCTCGGGCTCCGGGGGAAGGAGGGCCCCCGGCCGTGGCTTTCCTTCCTCGGCGGAATGGGAAGAAAACCTTAGTTCTTTGCTATAAACAGAACGCGCCTCCTAGTTCACCCAGGCCGAGCGGGGGAGCAGACATTGTTTAATTTCAAATAATAATAAATGTCACTGTTGTCAGTTTATTGCGGGAGGCTTCGGGCTGGAGACCCCGGGGCGTCTGGCGAGGCGGCTCCACCCTCCCCCTTCACACACTGCGCGGCGGGGGCCTCTCGGCCTCCCCGGCTTCCTGCGCGCGTTCTCGGGTCACCGCGGGGGCTGGCTGCCCTTCGGGACGCGCAGGGCCAGCCCGGCACGGACGGCCAGCAGCGATGGGGCCGCGCCGTCCCCGAGCCTGGGCACCGGCGCACGGGCGCA